GTGAGTAAGGGCAAAACGCACAAGATATAGTACTTTCAGTGACCTGTAGTTGGCGATGTCACTTCTTTGGTAGCAGAAATAAACTGCTGCAGAAAAAGCTAGGTGCCATACAAAATGTAATGTGTAATTGCAACACTCATTACAAATGTAGTGGAGTAAAGAGTACAGATGCTTATTCAAAAATGTAGTGAAGTAGAGAGTAAACGTTGCTAACAGCTTTGATACTCAGTAAAGCTACAGAGTATCCAAAAAGATACTCAAGTACAGTAATTAATTACATTTACTCAAATACTTTACACCTCTGCCCCTTTCAGACGGTTTAGAGCTTGGCTGCTAATAAAGCCTATCACCGTGTTAGGCATCGAACGCAGAACAGCTCAGCATTACCGCCACCGCCAACCGCACACATGTGCTGCAGGGACCCACGCTGAGCAGGGGGGCGGTAGGATGACTTGGACACCGTGGGCTGGTACTAACTGTCCGTGACAACTGCTGAACAGTCGGCAATGTGGCTTGACTCATGATTGAGATGTTTGGTTGAGAGATCTGGCAGATCGGAGATATAAAACTGAAAAAAGCAGCAGATCAGTTAGATTTCATGAGGTAAACAACACAGAGTTATATTAGCAACAAGTCAGTGATTTAAGTTTCACAAACTTTAAGTAGTCTACACAATTTTGGCTCATGTATAAAGTAATAATAATAGTTCAATGAGTGAGTCAGACGTTGATTCGGTAACCACTTAGCAAGTTCATTCAGTGAAGGATACGTCGGGTTGATTCAGACCATCTCATAAGAGTCATTTACTCATGAATCAGACAATGCTTCTGATTCCAGCAAATAAGAGACAATCAATCGTGAATGGACTACACAGGTTGCGTTGTATGTTTTTGATTCACTAAAAAGAACCAGCTCATAAGAGTCATTTGCTATTGAATCAACTCAACAGAAAGATGCATTTTCGCTTTTATTTAGCAAAAGTAAAAACATTCAATTCAGACTGCAAACTGGTATTCACAACTTGAGTAAAACTCAAAGACTTGATTCCTTTTGCTGTGTGGTGAACATTCAGGAAACACTGGCATAACTGCATTAGAAACGATAAAGAATAGTTGAAAATTTGCACTAGAATAAAAAAAATGCACCCCACCAAACCCCAATTGTTGCTGTAATTTTGGCTCCTTTTTCAAAAATGTTTATAGGAATGCGACTTCGAAAAGTCTCCAGATCCTCAAGTTAAATGCATTTCCCACCATTCATGCCAATTTGAACAAGACATGTCACACTAAACGGCTCATATATGATTAGTTGTGTGTTTGTGGGACCAGACCTCCGCCGAGCGAGTGGGCACACAGAAACACAAAGCTTCCCACAGCGTGTGCGCGTCAGCGCTGACTCACGGCATATGCGTGAGTGTATTTGTCATTCAGCATTCACAAGAAGTGCGCCTTTTCCCTCCACTCTCATACCTTTTTCTCTCTCGTGCGTTGGGTCCCTGGCTCCCACACCATCTCCTAGCAACAAGACACTTTAGTGCTATAAATACACGTATAGCAGAGAGAGAGAAAAACTGAATGCAATTAATCAATTAATGAAATCAAAACGCACAAGCTAAAATATCCAAAGTAAATTTGATTCTAATCAACACAGAAAGATTAAAGGGACAGTTTAACCAAATATGAAAATTCATTAATGTAGTTTCAAACCTGTATGACTTGCTTTCGTCTTTGAAACACTGAAGACTGTATTTCAAAAAATGTCTCTGTGTTTTTTGTCCATGTAGTGAGAGTCAATGGGCTCCAAAGTCGTTTTGGACCCCATTGACTTTCACTGTATGGACAAAACATTCTTCAAAATGCCTCATTTTGTGTTTTGCAGAAGTCAGTCAGTCTAAAGGTTTGAAATGACATGAATGAATTTTATATAATTATATCATATAAGTTTATAATTTAATTTTAATTTTACAATATATGAAGATGTCAAACTTTACATTTGTGGGTGAACTATCCCTTTAAGTAGCCAAGTCTATTTATTGCTATTTTGTTGCAGTTCATAGGTGGTTGCTTCAGAGTAAGTCTTTACTCAAAAATTTTTTATTTCAAATTGTATCAAAAATCTTGGTAAAGTACTCAATACGCCACACAATTTGACTGTAGCAGGATGAGTTATGTGCCAAATTTTAATACATAAGCTTAGGGGTTTGTTCAAATCTCTAACCAGCAACTGTAACAGGGATGTTTGCTTTACAAAAAATGAATGAGAAAGCCAAAATTGGCAATATGGTGATGATCAACAGGTAGACGTCCTTTAATAAGAAGAAGGGACATAAAATAAACCCCAGACGAGGGCTAAACGTCAGACTCTGGGGAAGGCTGAGGAATTACTTTACAAGAAACCGCTTTGAGGTACTTCCAAACAAACCAGTGTTCCATAATACACTCTTTTTTTCACATAAGACCACAAGCCCACAAGACAACTTAGCGCGTGCACACAAACATGCTCAATCAAAGCGCAATAACAGCTAAAACAGGCACGTCCCCTGGTGTCTGTGGGTTCTGCTGGGACTGCTGTTTCTCTGACAGTTACGGTCACTAATGGGTATGGAGTCAGGAGACCGCCAGACGAAACCCTTGCTTGACAGGGCCTTAAACACACGCTTAGAAAAACAATATGACATAAGCCTTACATGATAGCACCTGTACAAACTGTACCGGCACGAACAAACAAACCAGCTGATGAACATCTGACCGAGCATTACACGCAAGTTCGAGGAAATTGGATGCTAATATCCGGCTTTTAGGGGTATAACGGTACATGTATTCAAACTGACCATTTTTGGTACGGGTCTTTCAGTTCGGTACACATGTACAAATACAGCATACATGAGCGTAAAATACACTGCATGAGCAGAACTACATTGGAAACTTCCAGTTTTATATAGTGTTACTTTTGATAAGAAACAAAGTCTCATCTTTCAAATTAAATCCATTCTTTTCAGGAAATTCAAACAATAAATGCTGTTTTAATGCTCTTTGATGTGGTGGGACAGATCGCTGTATAAACGTTCAAATGCAGCGCGATCAACCATTCCTCTTTACTACTAGATTTAACACGAAATAAAGATGTCAATAAAACAGCTTGTAAACAAAATGTCACGTAGCATTTAATTTACCTCAGGCACGCCATCAGTCCACAGCTCGTTAGTTTGCTATAAATGAAGTCTAAAGAAGAGCATTTCGCAAAATATTAGATTATACTCATATTATACTTTACCTGTTTATAATGTCTTAATTATTTAACGTTTAAATAAATCTGTTATGAAACGAGTTACGAGAGGCACTTTGTAAATTATTATATTTCAACAACAAGTGGAAATTGTATAATTTAGAAGTTAATTTAAAATCTGC